CTTGTTTGTGTGTCTTCTCATTTCCACGGGGCGGGAGCATGCTTCTGGCACCCATGCGGCTCAGCTTCTCTGTCCTAGGAGCTTGGGATGGCGGCCGGGGAGCTTCCTTCCGGGTTCAAAAAAAAAACTTTAAAAAATTACCAATTTCCTCTTACCTCTAGCCATTATTAGCAAGCTGCTCTCAACATGCACAGCCCATCAAAGAAATGGTGTTGGATTCCTTTAAAAATGTGAAAACACTCTAGACATAGACTTTAAAGATCATAGAGAAAATAGTTCATGAGAAATAGTGAAAAGGAGACATGCTCCTATTTCCTGGGTAGATCATTTCCTTTTTTGGGCAGTGAGGAAAGAGAACTCCAAGGAGGATCTAAAAGAGGCTTGGAGAAGCTGTGTGTTCCAGATGCTCATGCAAAATTCTGGGTTCAGACACTTAGCCCTCACAACCTAAGGTGGCCCTAAGTGTCTTTAGATTTGGCAAATATTCTTATTCTTTGGGTCTGACACAGGAGCCTGGGATCTGAGGGTGGTTCTCACTTGTGGAATCTCATTTTCCTTTAGAGAAGCCTAACTTTGTCACCCTGTGGAGCTACGACGTTCTCCTCCCTTACAAGACAGTGGGACTTGCTGCAGTGAAAGTGCTGCCTGTCACAGCAGTGGCATTGTATCTCTCAGATGGAAACACTTGCAGAAAAAGTGATTGGGCAATTCTTGGTAACATGAGTATTTCCCTGCAGCAGGTTTAAACACCTTTCTTTCTTTCTGTTTGTGGTCCATGTTCTTGGGAGTGATATACACAGAGTCCTTCTTTCTGCTCTTGAGCCTCCTTGGAAGGCCCAGCATGAATTGCAGAGTGGATTCCTTGTGTGTTGGAATAAGATTAGCCATGGCTTTTGAACTTCTTTGGCTGGGACGGCAGTGAGAAAGGGAGTTTACACTATGATTGAGTACATGCATCGCTCTCTCTATGCACCTCCATAGTCCCCCCAAATATTGCTTTGGTTGATGAAACATCATCGAACAATGTCTACAATGCCTTCCAATATTGACTATTCTACTTCACTGAACAGAATGCCTGTCATGGTCCTGCCTGTAGAATGAGAAATTAAGTGCACCCAATTTCAGTTATTTAACATTCATGTGTGTGTGTGTGTGTGAGTTAGAAAAAAACTTGTCTTATTTTAGACATTGGCCTTGACAGTTTCTATAGTGTCAGAGGTTTAACCTTGAGGGTTGCAGTTTTGCCCTTGAAAACCTTTACGAAAGTCTGCATCTTGGCTCAGGTTCCACTTTTCATTTCAACTCTCTCCCTGCACCTGTCACAATGCCCGTGTTAGTGAATGTCCTCATCTCTTGCCCAGCCCTGAAACTCTGGGACGGTTCATGTGGTCAATATATATTCATCGTGTGGAAACTGATTTATCTCTCATAGGTGTCATATAGAGTTCGGCACACTGGCACCTGGAAGATTGTCACTCGGATGGTGGCTGTTTGGGTGCTGTCCTTCTTGACGAATGGGCCCCTGATTCTGATTTCAGAGTCTTGGAAGAAAAGCACCAGCACCACATGTGAACCCGGATTTTTTATCACGTGGTACATTGCCGTCTTCACGTCGTTATTGGAATTCCTGGTTCCTATCTTAGTCGCTTATTTCAATGTCCACACTTACTGGAGCCTGTGGAAGCGAGGGAACCTCAGCAGGTGCCTCAGCCAACCCGGAGTCCCCTCTGTCTCTTCCAGTGATGGCCATGGGCACACATGCAGACAGGGCCCAGGTTCAAGGGTGACCCTTCCAGCACAGAAAGAAGCAGCGGCCTTCCTGGATCCAGGCAAACCACGAAGAAAGAGCAGTGTCTTGTTTTTCAGCAGAGCTCACAAGAATAACAGTATTATTGCCTCCAAAATGAATTCCCTCTCCCAATCAGATTCCCTGGCTCTTCAGCAAAAGGAACATTTTGAACTTCTCAGAGCCAGGAAATTGGCCAAGTCACTGGCCATTCTTTTAGGAGTTTTTGCCATTTGCTGGCCTCCATACTCACTGACCACAATTATTCATTCCATATTTCAGGTACAGGACTTTGCTAAATCCAACTGGTACAAAGTTGCCTTTTGGCTCCAGTGGTTCAATTCCTTTGTTAATCCCTTTTTGTATCCATTGTGTCACAAATGTTTTCAGAAGGCTTTCTTGAAAATATTTCGGGTGAGAAGACAATCCATACCAGCACACAATCGCTCAGTATCCTCTTGAAGATAATGTTCTCACTTCTATAAATTTTAGGCATAATCCCTCCTAAAAGAATTTGACCTGGTTTGCACATTGCCCTTTACACTCTACCAAAAAACTCATAAAACTGTAACACTTGACAATTTAAAAAAATCTAAACCTGAAAGTCAGTGGAAAATGAATAAAGTCTAATGATAAGATTTTTGTAACTAGCCACAAAGTAAATAATTTTCTTCGTCATAACCTCTTCCTGTAGATCTTGAGGTAACACTGATTGTGAAATGCTAGTTTCTGTTTTCTATGTTCAGCATTTGCTGCAGTAGTAAGTTTACTTCTCTCTTTAAAAATTTCATAGTAGCAATACAAGGATATCCAGCTGGAAAATTATTCCGTATAGTGGACAATAGAGAAAAGAGCTTCATTGCTGGTGGTGGGTGAGTTCGGATTGGAGAGCTTGCATTTCCACACTCTATGGTTGTGGTCCCAGGAAGGTGACAGGTGTGCAAAGCCCTGGCCATCACAGGAGGAGGAGGCGAGGGACAGGCAAAGGTCAGCAGTGGTATGAGTATGAAGAACCTTTCTTCCTGCTCTCTTCTTCCAGCTTCCTTATCAGCTACAATTTCTCTTTCTGAGGAAATGTGGGGTGAAAAGACCATGTGATTGAAGACACATCTACTGAACCGGTAGATGTCAATAATTATTAAGAAAATCTTGTATTTATTTAGTGTCATTTAGCTCATTTACCCAATACTTTATGTTGCAAAGCTCAGAGTTGTTCCTTTGTTATATAGTTAGTATAGGTTATGCTTTACTGACGATTCATATTTTATTAACTTGGTGATTTTTTTCATTTTTAAGAGTTCTCTTTTTTTTAATGCCCTATGCTGGTCTTTTCTCATAAACTTTTATAAGCTTTTTTGTTTGTTTTAAACAACAGTCATTTATTTCTCACCAGCCTGGAGACTGGAAGTCCAAGGTCCAGGAGCCTAGCTGATTCGGATTTCCTGAGAGTCCCCTCCCGGCCAGCAGATGGCTCCCTTCTTGTTATAGACTCCCGTGGAAGAGGACGGTGGGCTAGGAACTGAGGCTCCTGTCTCTCTTCTTTTTTTTTTTTTTTTTGGTACCGGGGATCGAACTCGGGTCCTTGTGCTTGCGCAGCAGGTGGCGAAACCACTGAGCTAGATCCCCGGCCCTCCTGCCTCCTGTCTCTCTTCTTATAAGAGCACTAGTCTATCACGAGGACCCCACCTTCATGAACTCATCTAAACCCAATTATTCCCAGAAGACCCCCCCACTACACACCAACACCTCGGGGGGCTAAAGTTTCAACGTAGGAGTTTTGAAGGGATACATTCAGTCCCTAACCTCATATTTATCAATTAGAAGCTTTATATTTCATTGCTTCAAAACTATTGCATGGGACTTTTCTTTAATAGTTTTTATTTTCATGCTGGAATTTTCAATGTTGGCTTTTTATTTATTGAATATTGAAAACAGTTGTTTAATAATCAGCATCTGCTAACTCAAATATCTGCAGTCCCTGTGGACTGTATTTTGTTATCTGTTTTCCCTGCCAATTCTTTCTCAAGGTGTCTCATTTCCTTGTGTCTTTGATTTTTTAAAAAAATTATCTACTAAGCATTAAAAAATTTTATTATGACATGTTTGCAGTGTATGACTACATTCATCATCAGGGAATCTCTTCTAAAAGGTTTTTATCAGTACTTCTTCTATAACTTCTCACGGTTCTTTTACAGTTTGATGACTTTCCTATTTTTGGACATTTTAAACCTTTGATTAATTTCAAACACTACAATATAAAAATCTTTTAAGTGTATCAGTGCTTAGAAATGTACATAATTTTTACTTATGCTTATACTTTCCATTAAGTAAGAGATATATGTTTAACATTTAATGGCAATTTGAAAAATTTGAGAAACTCTCATAAATGCACAAAATTTATAACCTTGTGTCAGCTACTGGCTTTTACATTTACAAATTAGTAATTATAGATTTCATGTGATTACTGGAGGCTTGGCTGTTCATTGGATGGAGTGGTCCTATGAAATTTTTGCCCCATTGAACCTGGCAGAAAGCATGCCTAAAAATTCATAAATATTTTCTAAAATATTCATAAAATATATATTGTATTTCATTCAATCCAAGATACTGTCAATGTTAAGACATTTTATTTACTGATGCAAAATGATATAATGCTTTAAAAAATCACATTGGTAGTAAGTTCCTTTCTGATCTCAGAGTTGTTGAGAAGAGATCACCATGTATCTTAGAAGTGACTCCATGAAATGAGTTTGAAAAAAATACCATACTTTCAATGGCACATGGATATTTTCATCAAATAAATATGCATTTAAAGCCTATTGTGTATTAGCTACTAATTATAAGGGTGCCTAAGAACCTTGCCAATAAGAAACACATTCCCTGGGAACAAGAATTTTACTTTGAAGTTCTTTTAATAACACTGCTGGGCGCATGATGCCATGGTTGCTCTGTAGATACTTCCTGAGAAGGCAGGAAGTAGCCAATTTCCTTCCATGATTTTCTATCCCTTTCTACCTCACTTTTGCACTGTGACTTTGTAGCCTCTCCCAGCAGAAGTGATTTTCTTTGGCCATAGATCGCTGCAGAGAGAGTGACCCCGTGCTAGTTCAGAGCCTAGGCCTCAAGAGGCCCACAAACACCTCTACCTCTTAGGAGTTGCCTGGCAGTGGGGTGAACACCACCTGCCCCTAGCCTGATGCACAAGACAGGCCACATGGAGCAGAGTCAAGGAGTCCTAGCTGAGCCCAGTTTAGACCAGCCAGCCTCCAAGTGACTCAGCAGCCACCAACAGAGGCATGGGCAATAGCAGGCAAGAGGCTGGCTGAAAGCAGCCTAACATGGCTCGGACCACATGAATGGCTCAGCTGAGCCAGACACCCCTTGGCAATGGGAAGACTGCATTCGGGGAGTGTTTGTTACTCAGCAATTTCTAACTGACACACCAAGCACCTGTCCTACTGTGTACTGAATGCAGCCTCCAAGGGTTGAGGAGAAAAGTAGATGTTGGCATTACTTGCTCTTGTGTGACACCTTGGACAGAAGACAACATTATTACACAAGAGAAGTTTTTTTTTTTTAAGGTCATGGCTACTTCTCTACAGGAACATATGATTTAGTAGTAAAGATAATGGATTTTGAAATATTGCAAATTACATGGGTGCTCCGTGAGGCTAAAGTTGCTCCCTGAGTTCGGAGGAGAAAAGGCAGCATGGGGGAAACAGGGTGTTCTTAGCCGTGAGAGTGTCTCCCTTCATCGCCTCATTCAGTCTCTTCAAGTTGCCATCACATACTGCAACCTAAAGCTGGCTTTGCACTTTGTATTAAATGGTCCTTCTCATTAAAATGGATTTTTTAGTACTCACTCCTGCCGCCATTTCTTTATGTGCTTTGACTTCTCTGAGGGAATCTGAGGACTCAAAAGAGGCCCTTTAGTAGGAACCAGCCAGTTTGGTCCATGGTTAGGTGAGTAGCTCTGTGAAAGAATTAGTGGAAGAAGTCTATTTTATCTCTTATTCAGATTCTGATACTGCCTCTTTTCTCTCTTAGAAAAAAGTCGAATATAAACATCCTGCAGAAAAAATTTAGGCTATGTGTTAAAATACTTTTCTGACATATAGACCCGTGCTTAAAATTTCCAATGTTCGCAGGAAAGATGTAAGAGATAAAGCTTTTCCTCCATAGAAGGCACTTACCAGCTTCTCAGAAACTGGAGGACAAGTGGTTTTCATATTCTTACTTTATCCTTCCGGTTTCCCTGCCCAGTGCAGCACATCTGGGTCATGGTCCGGAGCAGTTGGGTGATTGGTTGGAGGTTCTGCTTTTCTCCTCCGCTCATTTCTGGGATCCAATTGGTTTGCATTCAGTTGTTCTTTGTGATTTTTGTTCCTCTGGCTCCACGTGGATGGTCTGGAGTTCTAACGCCATGCTGGTTCACACTTCTCTAGGCTGAGGAAAATGTCTGCTGCTCTGAGACAATGGCCCAACAAGCTTCACGCCAGATTGTGAGTTCTGGGGCAGAGAAGGCCCTGCTCACTTCATCTTCCACACATGGCAGATGATAGGTTAGAGCCGGGAGAAGTAGCCCAGTGGTGAGCGCGCTGAACAGCAATGGCAAATGAACCAAAGCCCCACCTAAGGGTCTTCTCCGTGCCACAACAGTAATGCCGTTGTTCTCCACCAGATGGCAGTAGATCCCCGTGCTTTTTCTCCTGAGCAGCTGCTGACCAAATAAAGGTTGTTTTGTAATACAATTCAAAGAAATTTGATAACAGTTTCCTCAGTTCTCAATGTTTATATTGAATTAAACTCAGAAAGTCAGTGAAGGCCCTATAATGCTCTAAAAAGCAAAACAACGGCTTCTCCCTTTCCCCCATTAGAAGGCAAGGCTGCCTCAGGACGTTTTCATCAGGGCACTTGTACACACGCTTGCACACACACACACACACACACACACACACACGGCACCTCATACATCTGCCTCCACCCCACACTTTAACTTCCCCTCCATCCACACGGTTCTACTGCCCCACACTACACAGCCCCCCATCCCCCCACCACACAATCCAACCCCACAACCGTCCGCACACCAGATCTGCACACACCACACACATCTAATCCCACAGACATCTACTCACCACGCATCTGACGCCCTCACACGTCCACACACCGTGCACACCCACACATCACACATCACACTCCCCAAGGTCTCTCCACGCACATGCACAACCCTACACAATCCGCACTCACACTCCTACCCCACATGCCACACACATCCATCACACACCACACATCTGCCCACCACACACGTTCGCACACATCCACCGCACGGTCCCACACACGTCTGCACGGCATGCCCCCCAACTGTCCGTATGCGCATACACAAGTGCCCTATACGTCGCTACATCTACTGGCGCCCTTTCATTCCAAGAAGAAGAGTTCCTTCGAAGGAGTCCCTTAGTCTCCCGAGACTGTAAGGTAAGTATAAATGTTCTTCTAGACCCACTTCATCAGTGTCCTTTGCTAAACTTCCCTTTATAACAGTATGACACATCATCGGCTTTTTGAAAAGTGACTGCATTCTAGGACCTCCAAAGGCTTTAAAAATTTTTCTTCCTCAAAATTCGCTGAAAAAGTGTAACTCCTCCTCTCTTACACACACAGAAACCCATGGGATCTTTCTTAATGATTGGCATTTTTCTTATACTTACTCTTATAGCACATTTCCCATGATCCCTCAAAGTAGCTGTCCACTTAACAGTGTAAAAACCATGTGCAAAAGTATTCAAAGCTATTAATAGACACAGCAGCAATTGCACGATCCATTAACTTTGGATATCCTCGAAGAAACAGAATTTTCAAGTATTTTCTCCATATAAGTGGTACCGCCTACTGGTCAAATTTGGTATTGTATTTCAGTTCTAGTTCATGCCTAGCTCCTAAGGAAGCAATAGTTTCTTTTGCAGCTATGTGATCGGGGCATAAAAAATGATTTTTAAAGAAAACGATTTTCAGTTTCATAAGATGCCATATAGCATGAGTTCAGCTACATTTTAAATCCTTATTTATGGCCACAGGAGTGACTGTCCTCATCACTTAGGCGTGCATCCGCATCTACGTGAGTTTTCATTTGTGCTGTTCATTCAAATCAATGAATTTGGCTACCGCATGAAATCTTATCTTATTAAAAATTTCCCACATCATTTAAATTGAGGCATCCCTCACTCCCAAAACGCTTACTCGTATAAGATCACATCTTTGATATTATAATGGATGTTAATGGGGAAATAATGTACATACTGGTAAAATTTCTCTATTTTTTTTGGAGGGGTACTGGGGACTGAACCCAGGGCCTTGAGCATGCTAGGTACATGCTAGCCACTTTTTAAAATTTAACTTTGGTACCAGGGATCGAACTCGGGTCCTTGCGCTTGTGCAGCAGGTGGCAAAACCACTGAGCTAAATCCCTGGCCTAAAATTTAACTTTGAGACAAAGTCTCATTAAGTTGCCCAGGCTGGCCTTGAACTTGCTATCCTCCTGCTTCAGCCTCCTACAAGTAGCTAGGATTATCGGCAGGTGCCACCATGCTTGACTCTATGGTAAAATTTTAAGGAAGAAATGAATTTCATATTATGGACATTTTTAATGACATAAATCTATTTCTCAAAATCTCAACTGTTGTTAAAAGGAGCGAAGTGTTGGCAGTTAAGAAGCTTTTTAGGTTTACATGCGGTTACTGTTATGCAGAGAACACCTTCATTCCAACTCTGTGGATATCTGTTTCATTTGTTAAGATCCTGTGAGGAGATTTAATCTGCAACTTTAGAACAAGAAAGATTCATCTTAAGGAAGAAAATTTTGGAAGAAAGAGGAGAAAAAAAAAAACTAAGGAAGGAGTAGATCACTTTTATTTATCTCGCAGGCTTCTACTTGAGCTTCCCTGAATGGAGGAATGAAGAAGTTATGGAAATAGTCTACACAAGGACTCTAGTCCAGGCAAAGGGTGACCCCTGGAGTGGATCCCATATTTGAAGAGGGACTTTGGGATCCTCTTGGAGTTACAGAGCTGCCTTGGAGATCAGATGTGACAGTGTGACAGAGCTAGGGAAGCAGCCATTCTCTTCCGTCCT